GATAGATAGATAGATAGATAGATAGATAGATAGATAGATAGATAGATAGGCAAGCAAGCAAGCAAGCAAGTAAGCAAGCAAGCAAGCAAGCAGGCACTCAGAGTAGAATGATAATTACGGGCTCTGGCCAGTTTTGCAAAAAGGCAGGTAGACCTTGGTAGTCAGCCCCCCCTTCTCTTTTGTAGCAAAAGTATACCTTTCCATATAAGTGAACACAATGGATGAGATATGTATTCTGCCTTTCCCTACAAGTAATTTGTGATAAAAATGACCAAAAATAGAATCATGAGTAACTTAGTACAAGTAACATCCGTGCGCAAAACAGCAGTTCCCTGACTTTCGACTGGTTCCCCCTTGGCAGCCTGGAAATGTTTCTCCCTGCCTCGCTATTTAAAGATCCTGCACAATCACCCAGTGTTAAAGCAGCATTCCCATTCAGTTGAGGTTCCAGCACACCTGTTTGGCTCAGTTTTTGTTGCCTGTTTAAAATAAGTCTGAGGGCTGACAAGTATGCATAGGCTCCTTAATGAACTCCCTAAGAAGAGGAGCAGCAAAAATTCCGCCTTCTCTTCCTGCACTTTCACCAGCATCGCCCTGGTGATAAAAGGAATAAAGGAAGACTCTCCTGGCCATGCCAGAGGATACAATATGCATAGATATTGCCTCTCTCTCTCTCTCTCAACTGAAATGTGGTTTGTCTTGTGTGACTGTAGCTATTATGGTTTGTAAACCATGGTTTGCAGGTGCTGATTTGTTAATATTGCTGTGAAGGTAGTAAACCAAGTGGATTTATTCAAGAGTCTGATGTTAGATTAGGTTGGCTAAATCCCTACAGATCCTGTGTAAACAGGATGCAGTACAAATAAGTTTACTGGCCTTTGTAATGAGACAGATAACATATGTAAACTTCTGCTACCATTTATCTACATTCATTAATATCATTTATAAACAAGTAAACCTTTGTGAAGTCCACAGAAGTACAAATCCTATGACGGCAAAAGGTTGATCTGCAGAGGAGTCTGGGGGTGCCTGCCCAACTTCAGGTAATGTGAAAAGGGACAAATACTTTAGCGAGGAAACTCTGTGGCAAGAAACCCTGGATTCCAAGGCTATTCTAACCTATACATGATATCTGTTAGTCTTGCATTTTCATTTGTTTCTTAACATCTTCATTCTTTTTTTCCTGACTGCAGTATTTGAATTTTGGATTTAAAAAATAACAGGAAAGAGTCTGCTTTTGTTTCAGTATTTTTATAATACTAGGTGATTTGCAGGTCTATTTCTTGGAAATCAAGGCAGCACTTCTTAGCTGCAAGGCTGCTTGGGTCTTTTCACCCTGAATCCAGATAGAGGCTGTCACTTGCTGGTAACTTCCTGTGTAGAAGAACTGGAAACTGAGTGTACTGGTTATTAGTTGCTAGCAGCTGGAGTATTTTGTATTTACACGATTGCTCAAGCCCTGTTGTTGAGTATAGACTCCGGTGGGAGAAATGGTGTTTCTCTAATGAGAATTCTGGGAAATGTGAGAGCCCGACTCTCACAAGTGGTACAGGCTGGAGGGAGGGTCTTGGTGAATTGGCTGGCATAGCAATCATGGTCTCTGACTGGCTCAGTAGAGACTTGCTGTTTCCTTGAACTCTTGTCTAAACTTTGGATAGACAGTGGCTGGTGTGGGTCTTCCGGGCTGTGTGGCCGTGTTCTGGAAGTTTTGTTTCCTAACGTTT